ATCAGACCACTGACAATTCTTACTTAATTTTTCTTGTTCTGTTACCATGATATTACAGTAATAGTTTTGACTGTATAGCTCATTTTTGTTGATTTTTTATTATAAAACTTACACCATTTGCTAATTATTAACTTTTCTGAAAAACACAAATGTAAGAACACAAAAAAACACTCATTAAATTAGCCCTTGCAGAATAGAAGATGCCCTGAACAGAGCCTGCAAGTGGTTGCTTTATACCTAGTCTGAGCGTCCTTATCAGACCAGGGCTCTACCTTCTGTCACCTCTGAAGCTTCCTATTCGGGAAGCTCAACAGCATCTAATACTCAAGGCTGTCTGATACTAATGGCTTGCATAGTCCACAGGTTATCAAATAAGTACTGTCAAAACCAACTGTACTGTCCTTATTCTCTGAAGAACCTTTGGGGCTGTGTTCCTTCATTATAGTTTCTGTTTATCCCTGAGTGCAGACCCTAAAACCCATGTACAATCTTCATGTCCAAGTGTTATGGTTTGTGTCTAGATGTCCCCCCAAAGCCTCATGCATCAGGGTTTTTTCAGAAGTAGCTAAATCTAGAGTGATTGATTCATAGTGCAGAGCTGGGATTGAGGGTGCTGGGATTAAGGATGGGTGACTGCTGGCTCAGTCCACTGATTGGATGGGCACCACCCCAATCCTGGTAGACTAGATACAATATAAGGGACAGAAGGAGGCTGGTCTCCTCTTTCCCTGGCTTGCTATTGCTGTCTTTTGTCACTATGAACTGTTGCCCCTCTGCTGTGTACTCCTGTCTTGGAGCCAGCCTATTTTAACTGAAAGCTCTACAAACTGTGAGCTAAATAAACCTTTCCTCCTTTAAGTTTGGTGCAGGTATTTTTTCTCAGTGAGAAAAGTAACGAAGACACCAAGTATTGAAATTTGTTTCACACCCACCCCAGGTACCCATCATAGTGTCTACTTCTTGTCACGCCATTGTGCAGGCTGGCTGAGTGGCAGCATGGTACACGGCACAACTTGCCTGCTGCTAGGCTTGCTTCCTGTTCAGTCTGGACACTGCCCACAGACAAGATAGAAATCCTGAACTCTGTGGCAGCCCTGGCCAGGTGGAGTGTAACAGCAATCCATTTCTTCACCATTAATTAAATGGGGCTTTCAAAAGCTATCTGACCCGTTTTAATGTCCAAGGGGCTGGGGATTTAGCTCAGCAGCATAGGCGGTCATGAGTTTGATCCCTGGTACCGATAAAAAAAAAAAAAAAAAAAAGGGTGTGGTGTATAGTGCTGCATGCCTGTAGTGGGAAGGCTGAGGCAGGAGGGTTGCTGTGAGTTTGAGGCCAGCTGGGGCTGTAATAGTTCAAGGCCAGCCTGCACTACACAGTGAGATCTTGTCTTAAAAACCAGAAAACAAAACAAAACAATAAATAAATAAAACAAAATGTCCTGGGATGGAACAGGGTCTTGGCTTCCAGGCCCTGGAAGTAGTGTGGACAGCTGCTTTTTTCTGGCTGCCAAGAACTCATGGATTGTTCTGTGTGTGTGGCCTGAAGGTGTGGTTTAGTTTTGGATACATCACGTAAGAAAGAATCCCGTCCCCTTCCACTTCCTGACATCCCTGAATGAACTGCTCTCTGGCCCAGACCATTTCCCAGGTGGCCCTTGCTTGCTGTGGGATTCCATTCCAGGTCACCCAAAAGTGTCTGCAGAAATTTGCCCACTTCTTGCCTCAGGGTTTGGTGCACTGATGTGGGACCCACAGTGGCTGAGCTGTCCCGATCAAAGCTGCCACCCAGGCCCTGGCTCTGAAGTTGCCCCAGCAACACGATGCCAAGCTGGAGTCACTGGAGGCACCACGGCCCCTGCCAGTCCCAGCACCTTCACAAAAAGTCACCCTGTAGCTCAGGCTTCCTCCCTATCTGGGTTTACCAAATCCTAAAGCAGGAAGTAGATAATTTAATGGCAACACAGGTCTGGATGAGCCAGAATGGAGTCCTACACAGACAAGAATCAGTTGTGAAATGTTCTGGGGCAGGGAGGTTCAGCTAGGGGTGTTGGAAGCAGAAGGGGACAAGCTCTCAGGTGTGGGAGGCAGTGTTTTTACTGCATAAAGAAGGCCAGCTTCTGGAGATTCAGATGCAGCGCATTCTTTGGATAAAACCATCACTGCCAGATGCCCTCCTCACGTTTGTGCCTGGCACTCATGGTAAAGTGCTGGGGGTAGAGCTTCCAAAAGCTGGCAGCAGCTCTCGTGCCCCTGCCTGCCTACCCTGGCTGTGGTGCTGCGGTTCAGCGGGCTTGAGGCAAGCTAGGGAGTCCAAAATGACTGCTTCTGCATGTCAAAGCCATGCAGGATGCGGATGGGGCCTAACCAGAACAAGTGGAAGTCCTAGTGTGCCCCGACTAGAAGCAGGCTCTGGAGTGTAGTTGTGGCCAGGCCCTGCCTGCTATGATGAATTCTCAGCTGTACAGAGATGAGAGTAAGAAGTCTTTAGACATCTGTTAGCAAGATGATAAGGCAGTTTTATGTTGTTGAATCTAATAATTAAAAAGTTGAATTTTATTGAGTGTGAAGGTGCAGGTCTGTAGACCCAGTGCCCTGAGAATCAAAGCCAGGCAGATTCTGAGCCTGCAGCTGGCTGGGCTAGCTTAGGGAGACCTTGTCTCAAAAAGAAACAAGGATTCCCTGTTAATGTATCTTTGTTTTTTAAAGTTCATTTCTTGCATGTTATTGTCTTACCAAAATATCAGTCCCTGCTGGGTAGGAAGTAAAAGGTGGGGGAATCTCCCAGGAATCTTTCAGGAGCCTGAGTTCCAGCTCTGTAGCAGAGCTCCAGGGTGATGAGGTGCTCGTTCTCAGAGCCACGTGGTTCCAGCCCCAGCTCAGTTGCTTAGCTGCCTCATTTTCTCAGTTTAAATGTATGCACTCCAGGAAACTATTTTTTTTTATTTTATATTTCTTATTAGTACAAATCTGTTATATGTGTTGACCACATTCATCAGGGAATTCGTACCATGATAAAATGTCTTGATTCTTCTTTTTTTTCCCCATTCCCCTCTGTCCCTTCATCCTTTCTTCCAAGGATTTGTAAAGGCTTTGTTTCCACTGTTTTCCTCCTATTCTTTTTTTTTTTTTAATTTTTATTTAAAGAAAGACTAAACAAAACAGGAAATAGGTAGAAATAGTACATATATTCAGAGAAAAAAATAAACAGTAAGAAATCACTAGTTGACGTTGTCGTTTTACAAATAGTTGTTCAAGGTACAAAAATGGAACATGTAAAGTGGGAATTCAAACAGAGAGACTGCAAAAAATTCTGTTCAGCTGTCCAACAAAAACTTAATAACATGGTTGTCAATCCTATACACTTAAACATACATGCAGTTATCCATATCTTCATTTATGTTTAGATTAAACAAACTAAAGCAGGTTAAAATCATTCTGAACAAAGAATAATAGTATTGCTGGACTTCATATCATGACACTCTGAACAGCACTGGGTACTGTAGTGTCTTTTTAAAACTGAATTTAAAAAAAGACTAAACAAAACAGAAAACAGGTAGAAATAATACATAATTTCAAAGACAAAATCAGTAAGAAATCACTAGTTGATGATTGCAGACTGTCTTCTTACAAATAGTTATTCAAGATACTAAAGTGGAGCATATAAAGTGGAGATTCAAACAGTGAGATTGCAACCAGTTCTACAACTATCCAACAAAAACTTAGAAATATGGTTATCAATCCTATACACTTACATATATATGCAGTTACCCATATCTTCAATTATGTTGGCATTGAATAAACCCAAGCAGGCTAATATCACTCTGAACAAAGAATAACACTATTGCTGGGTTTCACGTTATGACACTCCAGGATCAGCATTGGGTGTTTTAGTGTCTCTTTTTCTTCAAAGTATCTGTTCATTTCATCAGTTGTCATAAGATCAGTTCTCATAAACTGTTTATAGATTCTACACATGCATGAGTCTTAACATGTATTTCTTTTTATTTTTTTTTTAATTTTGAAAGTAGTAAAAATGCAACTGCACAAGACAGAACAAAGCCAATCGAGACAATGCAGTGAAATTGGTACAGGATTTCACAGTAGGATACTGGGATAGTAGTGATAAGTACTATGGTATATCTCTTTAACTTAACAATAGTTGTCCAGTCAATTACATATTTTAAAATCAAACCAAAAATAGAACATTATGAAACCAATTGAGAATACTGAATAGAGCAAGAGAAACATAACAAAACAGTGAAAACAACCTATGCCTTGAAACAGAAGATAGAAGGAAATCCTCCATATTTGCTATACTGCATATGGTCATCCTCCCAAGAGATGCTGAAACATCTATCCCCAGTAGCTAAGAGAGGAGGAGGCAGGCGGGAGAAGGGTGCTTGATTTTCAGCCCGCATGGCAGTAGGCTCACAGGTAATGGTTCTCTTCCAGGCCCAAGCTGTAGGTGCTTACCAAGAGGGCAGGTGAATAAGCTGCCTGAGTCCTTCCACGGCCGCATCTCTGGAGCTCTGTTCTCCTCCTGGCCCGCTTTGCGGATGCTTACCAAGAGGGCAGGTGAACAAGCAGCCTGAGTCCCTCCATGGCCGGATCTCTGGAGTTCTGTTCTGGCACGGATTGTAGACACTTACTCTTCCTATTGTTTTTTTCGCCTTTTTCCTTCCCTTCCCACTCGAACATGTTCTTCCTACTTCCCAGTATCTGCTCTCCACCATGCTCAGGAAGCTGCTCTTGTCAGTGTGCAAACTGTTTCCCCCTGCCTGTCTCTGCTCCTTGCTATAGGGTGAGGTTAGGATGGAGTGGCCCAAGCAAGCCCTTGAGGTCCAGGCCCGGCGCTCCTCCCCCTTTCAGAACCGTGGTATGACCGCACAACTGGACCCAGAGCTGTGTCCTGTCTCGTAGCCATGGCTAAAGTCTGAAGTGGGCACTGGGTAAGAAAGGCGGAGTAACCGACAGTATGCACACCCCTTTCCTCTGCTGCAGCTGCCGCCATGCTGAGCTCCGAGCAGGCCCTGAGTGAGCTGCTGATGCGCAAGGAGGAGGAGTGGCGTGTGCTGCAGGCCCAGCGCAGCCGGCTACAGGAGGCGGCTCTGGAGGACACTCAGCAGCAGCTGAAGGAGGCACAGGGGAAATTGAAGCGCCTTCAGGAGGACTTCATCTACAACCTACAGGTGCTGGAGGAGCGGGACCATGAGCTAGAGCACTACGATGCTGTGTTCGCCCGGGCCAGAGGGCAGGAGGAGGCCAGGCAGGCAGAGGTGAGCGAGCTCAAGATAGAGGTGGCCAAGCTAAAACAGGATCTCGCCAGAGAGGCCAGGCGTGTGGAGGAGCTGCAGGAGCAGCTTCAGCTCAGGTCACAAGAGCATCGTCTGGAGCTGGACCGCATCCACAGGTGAGACCTGCCACTGTAATTGCCACAGGTACTGGGGCCCCACTGTCTCCTGCTCCAGCCAGTGGCCCAGGTGCCAGCCACACACACACTGCACTGTGTCTCCACTGTGAGCCCCAGCCTCCCGGCTGCTGGGTGCACAGTCTCAGCGTGCCAGCGTGCATGCAGACACAGGCAGGCTCTGGATGCCTGTTCCCAAGATGGACACTTTTCAAGGTTCATTTAAATACGTAGAATTTGTTTCACTAGTTACAGGTATGTGTTACTTGATAAACTGTGCTGGTTAGCTTAGTGTAGAATATATATGAATTTCAAAGCTAAGTAGGCTGACTTCAGGCAAGCTGATTTAGGAACCTACCATGGCCATCTGTAGGGTTGTCTTGGCAGGGCCTCTAGAATCCCAGTACTCTGGGAGACTGAGGCAGGAGAATCACAGGTTTGAGAGCAATCTGCCCAATTTAGTGACTTGTACCCTAACTCAAAAATAAAAAAAAGGGTTGAGGATATAGCTCAGTGTAAAGACCCTGGCTTCAACTCCAACTACCACCACTACCCTCCACCCCAAAATGACAGGGGTAAATGGTCAAGGATCCAAGCAAATTCCAGAGCTTCCCAGAGCTTGCTTCTGGCCATCCCCGTGCTGAGTTGTGCCTGCTTGGTGGGATGCATCCTGGGATTCCTGCTCACAGGGACTTCCTGTGGTGGGCAGGTGCGAGGAAGCGGAGCAGCATGGGTGGGTGTGGCACCACTGTCTCCTGTTGAGAACCCACAGGTAGCTTCCAAGGTCCCTGCAGCAACGTATCTGTCAGGCTGGGCGTGGTGGTACACACCCAAAAATCCCAGCACTTGGCAGGTCAAGGCAGGAGGATCGACATGGGTTTGAGGTAAACCTGGGCTACATAGTGAATTCAGAGTCTGGGCTACATGGCGAGATAGTGTCTCAAAAAAAGCCCTCAAAACCAGGCAGGGCTCAGGGAGAGAGAAGCCAGTCCACTGTTCCTGTGAGTCAGCAAAGCCCATGTCAGGTCTGGGAAGAGCACATCAAGAAGCTAGTTTGATCTTCCTGTAAACCACGCAGAAGAGAGACGCCAGACTGCCTTTCTCACAAGCCAATAAGTGCCAAGACTCCCATCCCCTATGTCCTAAGCAACTGGCTGGTTCGAATGATGGTCTGAGTTCACAGCAACCGAGGTACAGAAACAGCTAGATCCTTGATTGACCTTGCAGGATTAAGGCCTGTAGTCTGAATCTATGAGGAGGATGGCAGTGTGCAATGTGGCAAATATGGAGGATTTCCTTCTGTCTTGTTTTTGAAATCCAGTATTATTCTGTTTTGTTTTGTTCTGATTTATTGTTTTGTTTTATTCAGTGCTCTGTTTTGACTGGTTTTATTCATTTTGTTTTATTCAATTTTACTATGTCTGAGGGAATGGACAACTATTGTGAGGAGAACAAGAGATTTTATGGAAGCCATTGTCAATGACCCATTGTCCTGTTTGGGGATTCTGTGCCACTTTCACCACTTTGTTTTGATTGGCATTATTTTGTTTTGTATTGTTAGGTTTTATTCTCCTTAAAATTAAAATTTTTTTTTAAACTCCAAAAAACAAAACATACCTGTCACAGAGTCGCTGGCCTCAAGGAAGCACCAGGTATCCATGGTCCCTCAGCAGTGCTGGGGACAGATGTTAAGTGCCAGTTCACTTAGTCTCAGCAGCAAAGCACCACCATCCCCCGAGACCTGGGAGGGGCTGGACAGTAGGCCTGGAGCCAGCTCCCCAGGTCTTCACCAGCCCGAAAAGCGTCACAGGTGTGTGTGCTGGGTGTGGACTTCCTTTCTCACAGAGGTTTTGAATTCAAGGTGTTTACATTTGTTTTTTAAAGTGCCTCACTCTTCTGTGACATGTTCTTCAAATCCTTTGCCTGTTCTTTTTCTCCATTTTTAAATTTATTTTCTCTCTGTTGTTGAGATCAGGTTATTTCTGTTGTCTGTCTCACTTGTTCAGTCTTCTTGTCATAGTTGTTTGGTCATTATGCCCATGTACAATGGGCATATTATTTTGGTTATTTTACTTTCTAATTTTCAGATTTCCATTTGAGCTGGGTGCAGTGGCACATAGTTGTAATTCCAACTACTCAGGAGGGTGAAGCAGGAGAATCACAGGTTCAAGGCCAGACTGGGCAACATAGCAAGACTTTGTCTCAAAATAAAACTTTAAGAGAAGGGCTGGGAGTATAGCTCAGTGATAGAGTGCCCTTAGATTACTGGATCCCTAATAACAAAAGAAAAAGAAGAAGAAAAAAGAAAAACCCCTCAGCAGTTCTGGGAATGTAACTCAGAGGTAGATCACTGGCTGAGCATGCTTGAGGGTGTGGGTTCAATCCCAGCACCGAAAAAATGTCTGTTTGATTCTTTGCTCTACTTTCCTTTTCTCCGCTGCGATCTTGTTTTTTCCATTTCTTTTTCTCGATTGCTGATTTACATCTGGGTTGTCTTGGTATTGACCCGTGTTAGGTGCTTTCCCTGGTTGTTGGTTTCCAGGACCACTGGGGGTTGATTTGTGTGTATCCTGGTCAGCTGCACTAGGCAGGACCAGGCAGGACCAGAAGTCCTACTCCCTGTAGACCCTGCTGCCACCACCCCTGCAAAAGCAAAGCATGCAGGAGCCCTGGGTAGTGTGTTCGTTTGGTAAATATCCTGTTTGGTAAATATCCTGTGTCTGATTATTACAGTGACAAGAACGATGAGATCGACCATCAACGGGAGCAGTATGAGAATCTGAAGTGGAAGCTGGAGAGAAAGCTTGAGGAACTTGATGGTGAACTCGCTCTGCAGAGACAGGTAGAGCATCTGGCCTGGTCCCTGGCACCTCAATTGCATGGGATTGTGGAGGGGCTGGCATTCCACCTCCGGGACGGTCTCCCTGGGCCACTGTCCTTCAGCGGGGTCGCAGTGCTGCCGCCATCCACAGCTGGATGATGAGTTCCTGTCATGCAGGCCACTCAAACTGGGAGAATCTCCCTCCTCTCCCAGGTGCAGGCTGGGAGAAAGGCAGGAAGCAGCAGTGAGGCCAGAGGCATCTGGGTCCTTCTTTCCTGCCTCTTGCTTGTGCTCACAGAGTCTGCATGGGTTGACACTGTAGCTCACATTTCTGTTTAGTGTTGGGGTCTTGCTATACATTGCCATACTTTATGGCTCAGTGAGTGGATGGCACAGTTCATGATGGGCAGCTCAGGGTTGCATGGTACCTTGGTGGCTCATGATCAGGTTTTCAGTTTACAGCAAGGCCCAGCAGCAGGCCAAGAACTGTCTTGGAAGGAAAGTAGTTGTCTGTGAATGATGTCAAGCCTTATTCTGAAGCCCTGCAGGCCTGTACTGCACTTGACCTGTAGAACCTGCCTGCCCTAATACCCCAGGTACCATCAGGTCTATTGGACCAAGTGGCCAAGAGAAAGAGTAGCCTGAATTTGTTGCACAACTGTCCCCACTCCCATTCTAGGCCCATGGAAACCCTGAAGCTTCTTGGGTTACCTAAGTAAATAGTCAGAGTAAGGGAGAGATCACCTGTAAATTCTGAAGAGGCCTGCCAGGCATGGTTCCTCCTCTCAGATGGGACCAGATGCAACTTATCCTTCACTCTCGAAGGTATATCTCAGTGTGACCTGCACCAGGCCCCAGGAATTTCACAGAGGTAGAGGCCCCTGAGTTTTATCAAATATATTTCTCACTCCCAAACGTGCAAATGTTTTACTCATGAGTCTAAAGCAGTTGCTACATCTTACTCACTCAGTCTGGTCAGTGTGACAGACAGCGTGACAGCTTTGCAGAAAGTCAAGGTGATCAGGGCTCTTGTGAAGTGAATTGTAATGTAGGCCTGGAGAATTTACCCTCAGCTAGGGCAGGGAGGTGTACTGCCGCCTCGCCACCTGAAAGCAAACTGCTTCTAGTCAGACTGTGGACAGGGATAGAGAAGAAGGACCTGCCTGGCAGTAGCCGTGCTGAAGAGTGAGGGAATGCATCCGTTTGCCTAAGCAGTGAGACTGCATCGGGCACAGCACCTACGGCTGGAGTTAGGGTTAGGCTTGTGTTCACCCACCGTTGTTCTCCAGATTCACCACCTTCTGCCAGGCCAAGTAGGAGAGTTAAGTGGTGTGTTGAGGGGCAGGTACCGCCAGGCTTCTTTGGTCAGCTCTCTGATGGCAGCCTAATCTGCAGACTCTCCAGGGAAGATGTGGCTTTCGATTTGCTCTTTTCCTAGGTAGAGGACATTCCAGGGGCCTCTGCATGGCCTTTCCGTGGGAATGAGTGCAGAGATTCTGCTCACTGCTCTGTATGTCCATTCCAGTTATGTTTTGGGAACCCATCAGACTCACAAGGTGGACCTGAATGAGAACTCCCTCATCACTTGACGCCCCTGAGCCCCTTCTCTGCCTGGAGGCTGCTGTGTGTTTCCAGGCTCCTGGGATTATCATCATTTCAGAGCCAATGTCTAGAAGGCCCCAAAAGCCTGATGATTTTCTTTTCTCAGTGCACAGGGAGCCTAGCAAAAGCCCCAACTTCCTAGAAAGAAGGGTAGCAGAACAGGTGGCAGTGGAGCTCTTGGTAGCATCCAGCCTCCTCCTCAGAGCACTGGGCCTCTCCTTCCTCCCATGGGCTGTGGGTCTACAGACTGGAATTGACTAAGGAGCCGAGACTGTTCTTAGGAGTCATGATGGACTTGTGTTCTCTTGCCCTGGAAGTTTTCTGTTTGTTATAGTTTGGGTCTAAAATACCCAACAAAGGCCAGCCGATAGCCTTTGGGTAAGTGTTGGACCAGGAGGGTGTTAACCGCATCAGTGGATTAATCAGTGATTAATGGATTAATGGCTGAACGGGCTGTTAAGAGAGGGGGTCTAACTGAACAAAACAAGTCTTGGGAGCTTGGTTTTAGGGGCTGTATCTAGAGCCTGGCCTCTTCCTCTATGGCTTTCCCTTTTCCACAGGGATCAGTTTTCCTCTGCCATGTTGTTTCGGTCACACCAAGGCCCAACAGCAAAGGAGCTGACTGACCATAGACTGAAACTGTGGGCTAAAGCAAATTTTTTCTCCTGTAAGTTGTTTTTCCCAGGTATTTGGTTGCCCACAGTCAAGAAAATCTAATACCTGTCCAGTAAGACTCTGGGTATTCTGTCTCACTTCTGGCTACTGTGAGTAACTGTTCTGAATTGCCGGCTTGTGCTATTTGTGCACCTTTCCCTTGGCAGATGAGTGCTGCCACTTGTTCCTGATGCCCCGGGATCAGTGAATCTCGATGTATTTAGATTTTCCAGTTGATTGGCTCTGGTTCCTGTGGTAAGGTCTGACCTAGAGAGAAGAGCAATCAAAGAGCTTATTGGGGTTGCTGGGGCTCCCTCACAAATCTGCCCCTCAAAGTGGTGTGTCTTCTGGTTCCTCCTTGTGGGTGAGTGTTCAGTCACCATTTCCCTTGGTGGTAGAATTCCTTCTGCTGCAGTTAAACCAGAGAAGCTTGAGTATTTCTAATCCACTCACTGTGGCCCTCTTCGGTATGCAACAGGAGGCCAGCAGGTGGAGCTCTGCCTAAATGCCCAAGCAGCTGCATAAGTGCAGTCTGGGGTGAGGCCCCTAGCAATAAATGCCTCAGTTATTCAGTAGACCCACATGGTGTCCCCATCGTCCTGCACCCCTAATGCCTGTTCTTACATACATCCCCCAGGTTTCTGTTTGTCTCAGGAAACTCAAGTAATTCTTTTGGGGTGTAGCACACCTCCTCATGGGTCACCAATGCACCGCCCCCTAAGGGACCTGCTGGAACTTGAGCCTAGTAATTGGTCTGGAAAAAAGAGGGCGTACATGTCGTCCTGAGGGGTAACTGTCGGGGAGGCAATGCCTCATCTCCTCAGGGCTACAGAGTCCTAGACCTGTGGGAGTGGGGAGGCCACTGGCAAAGATGACTGACTAGTAAGAATATGGGGAAGGTGAACCTATGGCATATGTGTTACTTGTTTTTCTTTAAGGCAAAGGATATTAATGTATGAGTTGTTTCTATAAACTAATACCTCAGTATTTGGGCTTAATTGCAGTGTTGGCACTTGGTGATAAATAAGTAGGTTTTAGGTTGCAGTTTGAGCCCTCGTCTCTAAAAGGTTCGCCATCACTGATAACAGAGACTTAAGCTGGGTGTAGTGATGCACACCTGTAACCCCAGCATTCAGGAGGCTGAGGCAGGAGGATCGCCATGAATTCACGGCCCTCCTGAATTGCATAGCAAAGCCCTGTCTCAGAAAATTAGAAAAGAAAAAGAAGATAGGGACTTCCCAGCTTCATCCAGGTCCTCCCACATGTAACTGCCTGGTGTTCACGGTCCTGTTCCTGCCAAAGCAGCTCACTTAGCTGTCATCCTGGGAGCCTGGGAGTCCTGCTTGCATTGTGATGTAGCCAGTTGCAACTAATGTCATTACATATTTCTTAGTTTCCCAAAGGTATTTGAAAGTGTCGTATCCAGTGCCCCTGAGCTACTTGCCCCTTAGAAGTGGGTGTTAGGAAGAGCTGGTGCCGTTACCTTGTGCATCTCCATAGCAGCCTCAGTGGCTAGGCTGAGTAGCGCACCTCTCTGCCCCCAACTACTCAGGAGGCTGAGGCAGGAGAATCACAAGTTTGAGGCCAGCATGAGCAACTTAGCAAGACCCTGTGTCAAAATTTTTAAAATGTAAAGTGGGCTGGGGATGTTGCACATCCAAAGCTCTGGACTTGATCCCTAATATTGGTGGGGGTTGTTGAGAAGAATTCTTAGCATGTCTAGGTCTAATCATATTAGAGAATCTATTCCAGAAATCTCAGGAACAATTACAGAAACTTATCCTCAAAATTCTGCTCCTCCAGGAACCACTATCCATGCCAACTCTGTACTGGAAAGACTACGGAGAAAGAGAATCAGCTTCATAGGTGTGTGTGGCTTGTGTGACTGTGGGAGCTGTGATCTGTGGTCTGAAAATTGGAGACCCAAGAACACTGGCAACACAGTTCAGTTTGAGTCTGAAGGCCAGAGGACCAGAAACTGCATGTTTGAGGCAAAAGAAGATGGTCTTCCTGAGAGAATGAATTCGCTCTGGCTCCTCCCTTGCATTTATTTATTTGTGAGATAGTGTTTTTCTGTATAATCCAGGGTGATCCTCCTGCCTCAGCTTCCATAGTGCTGGGATGACAGGTGTACACCATCACACCTAGCCTCTTTTTTGTTCTGTTGTGATTTGAACTGTCTGTGTGGGTCCAGGTCTGACCTGGGGCTGTGTCCCATAGGAGCAGAAGGAAGCCAGGTGTACTGAATAGTCTGGCTTGGATTAAGTCAACACAAACCTACAACCCCAAAGCAGAAACTCAGGTGTGACTCACAGCAAGATAGGCTCACAACAGGTATACCAAGAAATCTGAGCTAGGCAAATCTGAAATCGACACCCATGTCGGGAAGGAACTGAAAACGGGGAGGTGTATGATTGTGTGTGGACAAGTGGGGTGAAGTGTGTGGAGCTGCATACCCTGAGTGCAGACTGTACTCTTTGAGCCATTGTGGGACCAGTCAGGACTGGAGGAAATCTGCGTACAGCTTATGGAAGTGCCCACAAATGGTAGATGAGTTGTGAGTCTGAATTAGGATTCATATGCACCCTCCAATAGCTAAGCAGCGGCTGAAAACTCTGGAGGGAGACGGTCTAAACAACCCAAAGCCAAAGTGACAGAGAGTGATTTGTACCATAACCAGGAGGCTGTGGGAGGGAGAGTGTCACCAGTGACCCCATTAGAGAGTGTCTTAAAGAACTGTAAGAAGGGCTACAAGGGGGAGTATG